AAATTCAGCAACTGTTTGTGCGGTTCATTGATATGTCTTTTTGTTTTTTTTTTTTGTATTTTTATATTTTATTAAATTGGTAATGTGTAATTCATTTACAAATTATGAAATATTAATATAAATAAAAAGAATATCTATTGAATGACTGAGAATTCTAAATTGTAGTCTATTGAAAACATTTAAGAAAAGCATAAATATTTATTGAAGTACATTATTGTTTTTTCATTTGTAAATATACTCATTAATCAATCTGTTGAAAAATCTTAATAGTTCATTGATAGTTCAAGGTATTGACAAAAGTAAGAAATTGAATCATATAATCAAGGCTGTAATTTGAGGTGAAAAACCATTAAAATTGAAGGACATGATACAATTAGATGTAACAGAACAAATAAAGTTTGATCAAAGTAATGTAATCGATCAATTATGCAATTATTAGGTTTCACTAATTTTGAATATATTCATGAACTTTCAATAGTGTCTAGTTTTTCATTCATATTACCTAACGAGGAATACATTGCACAATAAAGTACCAGACTTAATTTAATAAAATAAATTGTGCTTTACAAAATATACAATTCTTTAAAATTCTGGAGTCTATGCTTGACGAGCATTTTTCTTAGTTATTAATAGAGTGATAATTAAATGTTAAATAGTGTCTAAAAAGAATTATTTAATTTTCAACGCTTTTTCTAACAGAATACTTGACAATACAAATTTATGAGAAAACATTTCACTAGTTAGTAACTAATAATTTTTACACCAACATGCATAATGAGTTTATAATAAAGTTTCACAATAACATAAAGAAAAAGTAACTGCGAAAAATCTTTTTCACAAATATCTTAATTAATGCTCACAAGAAACATGAACAAAAAGCACAGATCATTAGGAATTCAATTGACCAATACAAGTTGAAAAGATCATTTATTTTTCGCCGTCTTTCAGTCTTCTTTCCACTAGAATTCAATCTATAGAAATATTTACTATTTTTTACTAAATATTTTTCTTTTACATTTCAAAATTAAGAATAAAAAATAAATTGTATAAAAATTCTTTATATAAATGCTTTTTCACTTGACTTTTAGCTATCCTTAAAACAATCTAGTTTCAAATCAAGTCTAGTCAAACAAATGAGTTGATCTGTGCATCTCTGATAGAGAAAAGTTGATTTTTTTTCATGTACTCGAAATTTATAGACCTCAAACTAGGTCCATTTTCTATAGTCTTCAGTTTGTGATCATTCTTACATGTGGTTGAACAGGAATGTTAAGCAAAGGAACAAAAAGTTCTAGCACTTAAGCTTTTCAACATATCTCAAGAGGTGTCAAATATCACATGACTTTCTTGCTAAAAATATTCAAGAACTTCATGAGCATGAAAAAACACGTTCCACTAGAGTTCTTTTCTTCAAGTTACAATCAATCAAATTAAACATAGATAGTTTGTGTAGGTTTTGACTTTAATTTTATATTTCGCGCAAAATATGTCTTTTAGCTCCATTCTTTTCATAGAAAACATCGACATATAAAATATCTTAAACTTTTACAATTCACTTTAGAACATATCTATCAATGTCAACCCGTTAAATCGGTAACAAGTTAGTCTATTCTGTTTTTCTTTGTAAAGACCATAGAGATGACTCATATCCTTTTAAACTTCTCTTTTTAGTTTCTTGAAGACCTACTATTAGCGAAAAAAATACAATCGCATTTTGTTCTCTCAGATCAACTATTCATATAATAAGCATATTTATCCTATGAAATCATCTAGCAAGTGATTTTGAACATTGGTGTCTTTTGATGTCATATTTAAACACATAATATGCAAATCATTGACTAAAATCTATTTAATATGGAATCAAAAAAATGTAGCAAAGTCTTTAAGCATAATTCAAAAACTTGTACTTCATTGAGAAAAAACTACATCAAGAACATTTTCAAACCAATATTATTTCAATTACTCAACTATTTTCAAATAAATTTTTATATCATTACAGACTTTTATTTCAAACAACTAAACTTTTCATATATCCATTGTGTTTATTTTAAATCGATATATGAAAATATTTGTTATTTCCTAGATTAAGTGCATATAGCTCATAGTTCTATTTACAGAAAAAAAACAAACAATATAGCCAGTAAACGGTTAATGACAAATGCATGTCTTGTTTATCTTTTTTCAATCTTCATTTTCAGCTACACACATGTCATCAAGTATAAAAAAAAAAGAAACGTACAATAACAACAACAAGGAATATTTCAAATAAAGTCTTTTTTTTTCTTTTTTTTTTTATGCCATAGCATTATCATCTTCATCAGCTTCGTCAACACCGGATATATAAAGAATGTTATTACATCGAATAAGAATTTCACCTAATGGACCGTTGTTTTTTTCATCAATATATTCTACAGCATTACCTAATTGAACATTCATATATTGATCAACACTAACAAGAACACCTAAATTGTAATAATAAATAAATATTCATTATTATATAAAAGCATATATACTCAGGGTAGTCGAAAAGTTTTGAAATTGTTAAACGGAAATTTGATGCTGATTGTTTCTGTTCTTGATGTGAAGTTTTTCTAGTAGTCAAAGCCGTGATGTACTCAACTGTCAATATCATTCTTTACAACTCATGACTATCTCGCATTTTTAATTTAATTTTTCTTCATTTATATTCTCAAATAGATAAACAATGTATATGCTACTATATAGAAACTCGCTCGTTCTCAGGTTTAACTACTATTCAAATCCATGAAGAATTGATTACTATTTATGGCAAAGATTATGTATCGTTTTGTACAATTGTCTTCTAGTTTTATGATTTTACAAATGGACGAAAATCTCTAGAAGATAATTCCTATAGCGGCCGTTCAATAACAGCTTTTATTCAAGAAAACATTGACTCTATGAAGAATCTTGTAAATGAAGACCTACATATCAGTATTGATCTAATAGTTGATATGTTGGATATATCTCATGACAGTGTGCTTACCATCATAAAAGATAATCCGGAGCTAAGGAAAGTTATTCAAAAATTTTTCATGAAGACTATGTAATAGTATCACTGGTGATGAGAGTTGGAGCTACCCATCGGAATATTGAATCCAAATCTTAGATAGCCGAAGGAAAAAGTCCTTCAGCTCCCGTTAGATGATAGTTTTATGAAAAGAAAAGAATATTTGTCATTTTTTATATGACTTCCAGATCGGTCCTTATTCTTCACGTACTTTCTATAGTACCTAATGATGGCATATAGAATCGTGTTGAAGGTTTAAAGATATTGCTCAAGAAATTATTGTAAACAGACTATCATCAGAAACAAAAGATATCAAACTTAATCATGACAATGCAATAGTCCATGTGAAAGGTCTTTTAATCAAATATTTTCAAGAAAAAAAATTAAAGTTATGGTATATTCTTCACACTCGTAGTTTGACGAAGGTAATAACCGAGAAGCTCAAGTCTAACTCTGTCGACTAAAACAAAAAAGAACTTTTATATCATTTTCTAACAATGTCAATACGTTCGAGATTTCTAATGTTCTTTCTATTTGAGATTCATTATTTTTTTTTAATGCACTAATACTTTGTCTATACTATACGGTTATGTTGTCGATAAGAATTGTTGTTTACGAAGAAAAGAATTAATTTTTATAATCGAAAGCGTAAAAGTAAATATTGAAGTGATCGTTACTCAATAATATTTGTGTAAACTTTCGAAACCTATGAGTCATAAGAACAGGACATTTGACGCAAGTCTTACACGACTGCAAAAGATATCGCTCCTAACGAAAAAGTATTGGCCTCTGTCTCACTGAGACCATCTTGTCTACATTTATTATATAGAGAGAGATAAATAAAATGTCTTTTCTATGAATAAACGTTTCAGAAGTGACAAAACTTTTCGACTGACTCAAATATAATAAAGTTATTTTACTTACCAATATAAGTCATACCCCATTTGAGACGAACAAGAATTTTTTTTCCAACTAATTCATTAATATATGGTCTTGGATTAAGTGGTGTTTTCATTTGTGTTGTTGCCATTTTTAAATAATCTAAAAGATAAATAAAACGATGTTATTCTTTAGATGACAACATAGTATGAATATATTTCTTTCTTTTTTTTTTATTTAGTCTTTCTTTTTTTTGTTTTTTTTGTAATGATGTTATAAGAAAAAGACATTTGATGTTTCATACAAAACAGAAAAGAAAACAACGATTTTAAATATCATGGTGTATGTATTTGTATTTTGTTTTAATTATCTTCTTCACGTTTTGTAAACATATATGTAACAGAACATTTTCCACAATAATTACGATCATGATGTGCAGCCATAAATACACCAGCACCACATTGTTTTGATGGACATTCACGTCTTAAACGACGAATTTTACCACTATCTTCAACCTTAAATCAATAATATAAATTTATAATAAAAATCTATTTTCTATTTTTGTTTTTACTTTGTAATATTTAAGTACGGCCAATTTAACTTTCTTTCGTTTGTGTTTATTTTTCTTTGGTGTACTGTAGGATTTCTTTTTACGTTTTTTGCCACCACCTTCAAGATCGAGTAAAACATAAAGTGTACTTTCTTCTTCAATACGGCATTCATTGAGTGTTAATTCATCATCTAATGAAATGCCACCTAATGTTAAACGTTGTTCATCAGAAGGTATGCCTAAAAATAGCATAATAAAAAAAAAATTAAAAAGAAAAAAGTGAAAATATTTATTTAATTGACTGATTTACCTTCACGTTGTTCAACAATTTCTTTGATTTCATTAATGGTGTCATCAGGTTGAACATTGAGTGTTAATGTTCGATCATCGAGAGTACGCACAAAGATCTGCATAACTCTTTGATTTTTTTTTTTTTATCTAGAATAAATAAAAATAATTGTTAGTAATATTATCTTTAAATTTCATTTCACATATTAATTGAGTAAATTCATAAAATTAGCTGAGTTAAAAAAAAACAAAAATTTAATCTTGTTTGATAGCTCGTTGTTTTTGTCGATAATTTTCATCGAGTTGAAAAACAAAATCAATAATACCATTAGCAAATGATTCGATTACCACATGAAATAAACAAACAAGTAACACGTATAATTTTATTTTAATATAAGCAATGAGACAGTATGACCAAAATAAAATAAATAAGATCCATAAAATAAGTGATAAACGACGTTGAAATCGTACATGAGATTCAATTTGTTGATTGTTAAATCTTTTTGATGTTGAATCAAATTGATTTTTAGTATAAAATCTAATATAAGAAAAAAATGAAATAAATACATTTAAATCAACAAAAACAAAAAAAACTTCAATTTTTATTACTCTTTTAATCGATTTTCTTTTTCATTCCAACAATTTTGTAACCATTGATTAATTTTTTCATCTTCTTGCGGTAAATCATTAATAGAAAAACGTTTAACATGAAAATGAATTACTTTTGGAATAACACCTTTTAGTAAATCAAATTCTGTTACAGGAAAATTTCCTTCATAACCAATTGTTACATCATCAACATTATCAATTATATCATCTAAATAAATAAAAAATAATAATTACATTACATAGTTTACTAATTATTGCACCTGATCGCATTGTATTAAGTAAGTATGTAAATCCTGTAGTACGTGGATGGAGACAATAATCATATGGTCTATTGTAAGTCGTTTGTTTTGCAGCGTAATTATTACTTTTTCTTTTTGTATCATCGCTGAAATTTGTTCCTTCCGGAAAGATTAATAGCTATGCATATATAGAAAATAACTTGCGTCTTAGTTTTTTTTAAAGCTTTTAAGCACAATTATTCCTGAAGCAAACATGCAGAGCACATAAACTATCACGATTACGACAAATACGATATATTATTCGACTAGAAAAACCTCGAAAAGTCAAACAACTCGAACCGATCAAGTTTCTGTTCGTTGTTTGAATTTTTTGATATATCATTAACTTTAAATATTATAAACCAATGACTATATAGCCTAAATATATAGAACATATTCGTATATGTTTAGCCTTTGAGTTGTTCATGTGACCAAAGAAAAAAATTTATACTAAAGCCATTGAAAATTCTGACAGGTATTGTTTTGAAAAGATTTATTCGATTCAGAAGAACTAAAACCAAAGTAAATTATTGTTCTTGTAAGGAACTATTAACAAAACATTAAAACTACCGTATCGTTTGTATTTTTATAAGAATAGAAAATATCAGTTGAGTTTTGTACTTCTTAAATAATCTTAACATGTTTCTAAGACATGAAATAGAGTTCAAAATACGATAAAAATCTTGTTGAAAACATTTTTGTTCAAAAAAACATAGACTTTATTGAACAATTGACAATTTTGCTTATCAACTAAGGCACTACATCAATACAAAATCAAGAAACATACTTATAAAGTCTAAAATGAATACGATCAATTGTTTCATACTTTAATAGTACGAAATTCTTTCTTTGCCATTTTTTTTTATCTTAAATAAACAAGATATCAAGAAAATCTTAAGTAAAACATGTAGTCAATACATTATCCTTTTTGCTTCATAAAACATTTAGATGACTTTTTTTTTTATTGAATAGATCCCTACGTTTCATTATTATCGTATGCATATGTATGAGGAATACTTATTCTATATAGATTGAATATATTTCTTATTTTATCTTTTTGACTATCAAAAAATTCTTTCAGAATACGTACTGATATTGGTGCTTGACATGATTTATAATAACTCATCATACTTTTCATTGTTTGTTGATCTTGTGTCCAAACACGTTCAAGAAAAAGGTAACCAGCATGTTGACAACTCCAACCTATAAGAAACAATATTTTTAACTTGAAAATAATAATAGAATAAATAAAAACAAAATAGTTCTACCAAAACAAGGTATATGTTTAAGTTGAGCTTTCAAAACAATTTTAAGTTGATTAAGAATTTCATATCGACTATGACACATCCATATAAACATCCAATCTAGTCGTGTTCGATGATTTAAAATAATTAATGAACGTTTTTTATCATTTATTAAATCATCACCAGTAATAACTATTCTAATATTAAGTAAATCTTCCATAAGACACTAAAATATGAAACTATTTATTTTCAATAGTTTAAATATTAAGTATATATTTACTGTTAACATTAATAGAAAATAACCGAAAGCAAAAGAACACCAACGGAAATAAATTCGTCGATTTAAAAGCATAAAAGGAATGGCAGGTGTAATAGCAAAAAAAAAGCCAAAACATGCACAAATAAGTAACATTGCGTAGAAAATAAAGACTTTTATTGAATTGATCAAAATCATTATTGAAGATTTCGATATGTTTATCTGCCTTGCATAAAACAATAATATTCTATTCCATTTTTTATAATCTATCGTTTTTTATTGACCAATCAAATCTATTTTTGTCGATTGAAATATTCCTTCTTTGAGGACATGATTGAATAAATTTTTTTAATCAAATTATTATATTTATTTCAAGATTTTTTATTTTCTAAATAATAAGAAAAATAAATTGATTTTTTAAATTCAGAATTTATTAAAAAGAATATAATGAAATATTATGAATATAATATGATTCGTTTTAAAATTAGACAAATAAAATATTAGATGACTCATCGGGAAGAGCGCCAAGCTATGGCAAGGATAGCAATATGTATTTTTCCAGATTATTTATAGAATGCGTACTCATTTTCTTGTTTTCCTTCTTTCTATCTATGGAACAAACGGTCATGGTCAACATGGTAGTAATAGCCAAACTTCTGTCGGTGGACAACCACATATATCTCGAAAAATGGAAGATCATGTGGATGATATAAAGTATAAAAACTCTACTTTTTTTTAGTTATCACATTTTTATATGGTACTTAGCTTTTTTTAAGTCATATTCGAAAAGATCTTCAAGGTCAAATAAATAAACCAACAGAACACTTGACTGCAGAAGAAAAAAAATTTTATTATTTTAAATTACATGATACAAACAATGATAATCGTCTAGATGGTTTAGAAGTTATGGCTGCATTCAAGCATGAACATCAAGATGAAGAACTTTATGATTCTAATATAGATGAACATAACAATATAAAACCTGAAAGTGTCAGTGATGAAGAACTTATTAATATTATTGATGATATATTGAAAGAAGAAGATCTTGATAATGATGGATATATTAGTTATGAAGAATTTAAACATGCATTAGAAAGTGATGATACATCAACAGAAGAATAAATCAAAGGAAAAACAAAAATAAATAAATCTTATACCTATACATATATTTGTTTTGTTTTTATATAAATACTAGTCATGTTTATCTTTGACCTGTTGATTTTGTGTCTTTTTTTTAGTATTTTTATCCTAATTTATTATTTCAGTGTTTCAAATATCGTTAAAAATAAATTACAAGAAAAAGAAACTGAGGATATCTATATATATCGTGAATTTAGATAGGTATCCTCTTTAAATAACTATCACTATATTATTTTTATACAGTTATTGACACTTGATTTAATGCAGTAGTGATAATAACAAAGGCTTATCTGTTTGATAACATTTATTGATATAAGATCTTGTCCTTTAAATAGCTTCGTTATAAAATAGTCACCTGTATATTTGAGTTGTAAAACAAAAAAACGCCCGTATGTGTGTATCAAGTGTATGTATCATATTATTTTTTGTTGCATTATGGAGTTCATATAGTGTGTCCTATGTTCCACCACGTTTTGAAATGAAACGTTTATCAACTAAACCTATTATTTCATCATGGGATAAGAATTCTGATTTTTTATATAATTATAATAGTGCTTTTATGCCTATGATAGATGATCCAAATGCAATAACACTTTTAGTACGTGTACAAGATTTACTTGATGATGCTGAAACTGTTTATAATGTTGGTCCAAGTAAGATAGCAGTAAGTCGAAGTATTGATCATAATTATCTGAAATATTCACATATAACACAAGAAAATATTATTATTGATATCGATGAAGATTATCAATCTTTAGGAGCTGAAGATCCTCGTGTTGTACTTTTTAATGGAACTTATTATTTGTAAGTTAAAATGTTTTTATTTTAAATATAAAACTTTTCATTTGAAATATTTCATTTAAATTTCATTAGATTCTACACGGCTGTAAGCAAGATTCCCAGTGGTGATTGGCGTGCTCAATTAGCATTAGCTACTTGTGAAAATGATTGTTTGACTAAAGAAAATTGGAAACTTCATGGTCCTTTATTTCCTGATGTATTTTGGTGTAAAAGTGGTAGTTTATTAATTCATAATGATACGCATCGTTATTTATTTTTTAATGATTCAAATATTTCTATAGCACAAACAAAAGATCTTATTCATTATAGTTTAACAAATAATTATCTTCTACGTACACGTTCTGATGCATTTGATTCTGAACTTGTAGAAGCTGGACCTGAACCATTAAAATTAAGTGATGAAAATTATTTATTTCTTTATAATTCAGCACGACGAACAAATATAACAAATCCAAAACCTGGTTGGTCACTTGAATATAATTTAGGTTGGACAATATTAAATGGTGAAAATCCAACAGAAATTTTAGCAAGAAGTAATCAACCTATATTTTCACCAGAATTAGATTGGGAAAAATGTGATAATACATCAGCTGAATGGGCTAATCGTGGTCTTACACCATTAGTTATTTTTGTTGAAGGATGGAAAAAAACTACTCAAGATACATTTTTAGTTTGGTATCAAGGATGTGATTCAACAATGGGTTTAGCTGAACTTACAGTACATTTTCCACCGAGTTCACGAGCTAATATTTCTACATCTGTACTTACTTATCTTCTATTTGTTTTTCGTCTATGCCTCTCTTTTTTTAATTAAAACATTTTTTCTTACAGGTTAATGAACAATATGTAATCTAGCAACTTCAATAAGACAACTTATTTTTCAAAATAAAATTAAAAAATTATCTAAAAAAATATATTCTAATTTCAAGATACAAATTACGAATATGTCTTGTTGTTAGTCTTCACATTACTGAATCGAAAAAATTTGATCGAAATGACTGCAAAGAATTATCTAGTTGAACATTGACTCAATCGGATACATACATTCTTGACAATATATACTGAGAGTTTTACCACACGCACTCAAAAGGATTCCCGATGAAAAACCGAACAAACGAAACGAATTTGCTGAGTTGCAAATATAACAGAAACAAAGCTCTTTTTTGTTCACAGATGATCCTGATAAGATCACTGCTTATATGAATAAGAAGAGATGAATACGATTGACATCATACACAACGATGGAGTATTAATGAAATCATTCTATTAATTCCATATTATCATTTACGAAATGAACAAAATAAGCAAACAGCTAAGATTATGAGAAGAATTCATGACAATAGTCACAATCACGAATATTGTTTGCCATTTGAGATGGACGATGATACTGACTATTGAATTAATTTCAAAACATCGATTAATTCTTCATTATAGTCACAAACAATCGATTTAGCACTCTCTCGTCATCCATTGGTGGTTAACTGATCCACGATGAATCGATTTCAGTATAAACTTCTTCCAAGTAAGGATGAGATTTAGCATGGACTGCTAACTGCTACTATATCAAGAAATTTCGCAAATCGAAGTGAATTACATTTGTCACTACTTCTATATTGACTACGATGATAGAAACACTAATTAGTTTTTTTTTCAGACCAAGTGAACTCAATTGTCTTCAAATATCGAATTCGATCGATGAAACAACATTACATGTGTACGAATTGACTAGAGAAACTGTGAAAGGAACAATGCAAAGTTTGACATAATAAAAATGAAAATATATCCGATCGAAAGTCTTCTGTAATTAAGATGTATGAAGCTGGTTGTGTACAGCATACTGTACAGGAAAAAGGAATCGTTTTTTTCTTTTCAAGTTTCTGGTGTGTTGTTCAAAGCTGAAACAACTAAGTGCAGTAGTTGATTTAGTAGCAATCGATGACCTCTACAATATGATATTTTCTGAAAGTTCAAATACATTCATGACAAAATGACATTCTATAATTCGACTTCTGGTAAATGATCGAGTGCGATGGTCTCGCGAACTCTTATATTATCATTGCGGCACCTCTACCGTATGAACTAAATATTTATTGAAGAGCATGTTTCTTTAAGCTGAAGCTTTACAGACAGCGCTAATTAGTACTAAGTCCGTAGTATTCGTGAGAAGTGTTTGAGCAAATTTCACTGAATTGAATGGGAGAAACATTCTCATGAAGAGGATCTATTTGTTCTAAGGTATCAAGAGGAATTAAAAGCTCTTGACAGCAACTATATAGATAGAAGATATAATGGTAGTGTTGCCCACCTCAAAATACAAATACAGTGAAATTTTCTGATCAGTAGCGAGGTCGTTCTTAGAGCATATCATGTCCACAGGATCTCTTTTCACAACACTTTTATTGACAAAAATATAATGAAAAACTACTACAGTTGGTTTTAGTACTTGCTTTCTATTATGTGAGTCCCCATCGTGCGCCATCTTTTTGCTCCTAGAATCCATTGGTTGCATTCACGAACCATCTAATTTTTGTTTCTCGTAATGGATGCAAAAGAAGTGGGATCAATGTTCTATTGCATATTTTTCGAACGAGAGAGAATGAAAGAAAATTTTCTTATCAAACACAACAGAATGTCTGTGACCCGAACTCGTACTTTATGAACAACAAAGAACGAGAATGCTGACCTTTTTATGGACTTACTTACATGCGAGCTAGGTTGTTGACAATCTGTTTTTCACTTTGAATACGACGATGCAGTATAAAATGAGACATGCATTCGTGAAACAGTCCATTCGACAGCGTTGACAACGTGAATCTTCCAAAGAATGATACCAACATTTTTATGTTTTATCTCATTATTGTTCATTGCTCAATCATCTTCACTGGATGTACTGTTCATAAGTGACGGTGCAGCAGGTCATGTGACCCCCATGTACGAATTGGCCAAAGCCATGAAACATCATAATGTGACATTTCTTACTTACCAGTTGGCCAAGAGTTATATAAATTTTGAAACAACAACTACATTTCATGTAATATATGCTAATGATTCAGCACAAGCAGCCATCGACGAGAAGATATTCGAACAAAAAGTTATTGGATTCTATGTCAATTATTCATTTATTGACTCGTTTGTCCATTCGACTCCGACAATGATTCCACATGCTGTGCTCTTCTTAAATAAAACGATTGATATTTTAATGAAACAACGTTTCGATGTGATTGTGAGCAGTGCCATGGCTTTTGGAATTCCTATTTTATGTGACACAATCAAAACGCCATGCGTCATTCAAGGACCGGTGTCTTTACCAAATGTTTTGAATTTGAATTTGCCGAATTATTTCTCGCTACTAGCACCGACAGACATGACTAAAACGACAACTCGTCTATTCAATGCAGTTTTTACATTTCGGTTGATTTTGTCAACACTGATAAAATCTTTTCCTGCATTCTACACGACTTTCAACTCACTTCCACGCGTTCCAGGACCTTTTTACGATAGTTTTACATTGAAAAATCTTCTCTCTCCAAAGTCAAAATGTTTACATCTTGTTAGTATGCCATCAACATTCTACGCGTCAATAGTGGAGGATCCTTACACGAAATATTTAGGCGCATTCGTAGCTGAAACATCAGTCAATGTTAGCGAAAATGAACTGACACGTTGGTTGAAGTCTAAAGAGACGAACTCTGTATTATTCGCCGCGTTCGGAAGCACATCAGTGATCACTCATGCACGGATGTCGAGTCTCATCAGTGGTATAGCGGCGTTCCTCACTGAAACTCCTGATAGTTCTGTTTTATTGGCGTTTCGTAACGTCAATTATGATATATATCAAGAAGTGCTCAACGAAATCGAAAATGATCGAATCAGTAATTTATTCAGAAATCCTGAACGAGTAAAAGTTGAACGAGGATTTGTACCACAAAAATGGGTTCTTCAACAAAATTCTATCAAGATCTTTCTGAGTCATTGTGGAATGGGTTCAATTATCGAAGCACTCTATTACGAAAAATCAATTCTTTGTATGCCATTCAATATGGATCAATTTAGCAATGCAGTTGCTATTGATCGTCGTGGTGTTGGACTTTCGTTATTTGTTCCGTATTTGTCACCATTAGAATCACTGATTACTCCATATGATTATCGACACTATACTTTTACTTTGAACGATGTTCAAGAGAAATTGTCAAAACTTTGGTCGAATGTCATCTATCAAGAAGCAGTGAAGCAAATACACTTAGAAATGAAACATGCTGGAGGTGTCAAAAGAGCTGTGGAAGAAATTGAATTTTTTGTCCAATTGAATGGCAGTTTTGATCGTTTTATTCCTTTTCAAGACTCATTGCCATTCTACCAACGATATCTTCTTGATATATTTACCGTTTTCGTTGTTCTACCTGGGATATTGATTATTTTCATTGTTTTAAAATGCTACCAAAGACGACGAAAACAAAAGACTGAATAGTGGACGAGAAACAAATCATATAGTCACTTATTTTTCCTTGTGCAAATTTATTGTTGTTCATAGTTTCTTTCTTTTTTAACTAATTGAATGTCTATACCTCTGCAGAATTATTTGAATAAATGAAATCAAATACTCCAATTTTTCTTTTTAAGACGATCAGCAATGGTATGAGTCTCGCTCATATCGTAGAGAAGAAAGACTTGCAACGGAGTTCTCCAAAGAGAAATCATATCATTGAGACCTAATTTCAAATGATCAAATCAGTTATGAGATCAATGTTTGCTTCTTAATTTTTAGTTTGACCTATGTCTGCATTTTGTATTTCAGCAATCGTTATCATAGAAAGTATTTCCACGTCAATCTCATAAACAGAACTGTTCTCCGATTCGATTCGATTGATTTTACTACTTTTCAATATAAGAATTCTCTCCGTAGATACTTTTCTTGTTATTTTCTAATTCAACTTTCAGAGAATTTAGTTCATGAGCACTATTTATCAAATGAATTATCTTGCCACATGTGAAAGATTGCTTGCACTGACGACAGTCAATGACAGGTATTTGTACGCTCGAAAGTCTACTCTCCAGTGTTGCGCAGTATGTATAAAGGAAACAATGATTTCTATTGATTTGATTGTCAAATCAGATCACGTCACTCCGACAGTCATCCTGTCAACTATTCTTCCCAATTTCATTCCTATACATTTGGTTATAGCTTGAATAGGTCGGCACACTTTTGTAGATAGATGTGCATGTATACCTCAAATAAAGTACGCAGAAAAAAAAATTAAAACTATAAAAACTGCAGCAGACGCTAAAATGACATGATAATTCTCTGTTTAAATATTCGAGTGTTGATCATTCATTTGAACTCACATCTCTTCAAGTTCAACTCGCAACATCTATCTTTGAAATGCAAGTAAAAGACGAAAACATTATGAAATGCGCTGAAACATCAGAAAGAGATAGTCAAAAGAAAGATTTTGATCAATGTCAACCATCACCCTATTAATCATACAATCCCTCTAGTAGCACAACAAACCAAAAAAGGCAACACATAAGATCATTGATCCCTGAAGCAGAGAAATGTTTCTCACTTAATCCTAAAGCTGACCATAAAGAAAAAAATGCAATAGAAACAAAATGTATCTCTTAAGTAAGAGAGAAATACTGTGACTAACATGTTAATCTATTGTGTAAATTACTATTGAATGAGTGCTAAAAAAAAGTTAGAAAAACATCACTAAAAACTAGGAAACTATGATTTCTTTCTAATAGAAGCATATCTATATTGGTTTAGTCGAAAACGATCAACTCGAACTCAAATAGAATATTATTGAGTTGTTGTTCATCGTCCTTTATTATGAAATCAATAAAATAAAGAATTATGATGCTTTGTTTCTTAATGTATTTCTGTATAAAAATAGTAGTTTGTTAAAATTATAACGTAAATATAATTTAGGTTGGGAAATATTAAATGGTGAAAATCCAAGAGAAACTTCAACAAAAATTAGTCAGCCCATATTTTCATCTGAATTAGTTTGAAAAACAGTGATAACACATAATCCAAATCAACCAATCGTTATCTCATACTACTACTTATTTTTAATAAAACCAAAAAAAAGTTATTAGAAGATACATTTTCAGTTTCGCGTATCAAGGATGTGGTTCAACAATGAGTTTAGATGAACTTGAAGTATATCTTTCACCTATTTCACCATCTAATATTTCTACACTTCTACTCGTTCATGCTTTTCTTTTTCTTGTCAATTAAAACATTTTTCTTACATTTAAATACACGAATCTATGTAATCTAGCAGTTTACATTAGACAAATTATTTTTTTTGAAGATTTTCGGCGTCTGGCATTTGCTTTGTAGTCTGAAGTAGTATCTACGTACTGAGTACATTTTTGGATCAACAAATTATTGTTAAACGTAAAAACGAAATTCGAGAAATCAAATTTGCAGAACTCAAACAATTTTTTCATGAGAAATGTGCAGCAACATCCACTTTTCTTCGGTCTAGAGTATGTTCGATCAAGCTGAAATCTTTTTCATATATATTAAACACTGTTTGGAACACGTTTTTTTTTTATTTAAAAAAAATATTGTTCCACTTGATTTTCGGCAGCTCTTACAACAAAAAAGGTCGATTCAAAACCCCATATATTTTTTAGAATACTTTCAATACTTTGACTATGTTATTCGAAGGACAAAAAATAAAAAGATACTCATCCTAAACAGTGTCAACTGCTCATAAAGCAACTTTCAGCTTGAGCGAGCATAGCATCTTGAAGAAACAGGGCTGAAAATTGAGCATATTTTTTACTGTTCTAATCTCAGTGTCTCGTAGAAAACAACTTTCGAGAGCTTTGAATCGATGACAACTTTGCTCTGTTTGTCAAGATCTACCTGCCGTAAAAATTTCGGTTTTTTTTTTCTTCCTGATTTACCATTCTCGAACAGCTCTGAAAAAGAAAGAATTACCGTCAAATAAAGTTAATTAAGTATAGAAGAAAAAAGATTAAAAAGTCTTGTTAATCTTCACATTACCGAATCAAAATGATTTGATCTAAACGACTGTAAAGACCTATCTAGTTGAACATGAACTAACTTGGATACATATGCATGATATTCAAAAAAAAATATTGCTTTCAAACTTTTATTTTTATAAAAACAATATTCAATTTGGTCTCGTAAAATAAACCGTGTAAAAAAGTGTACAAGGTTCCAATATTTTATAGTCCAATTGTTTTTGTTGTAATAGGAGACGTAGTTTGAGAGAATATGATAGAGCTACTGTTTACTTCTACATCTTTTATATCAAAAATAATTTTAAAAATTATGCTTATCGTGTATCTACAAAATGTTTCTAGCTATTGACTATCGCTGATGTGAAATAATACTCGGATCCTGTTTCCCGATCAGATCGAATGAATCTAAATTTCCGCCGGAATTAAGGGTCCTAACGCACGGATTCATTTATGAATCATTTTCTCCTACGATGACAAACTGTATTTCAATCATTGATAATTCTTTTTTTTTAAATTTCCTATACAAAAGAAAAAAAAAGAAATAAGAGTCCGATCAACTGAATTATAAAATAAACTAGTAGATATAAGTTTTATATATCAACTAATAAATTAACAAATGTCTATACTTTATAAGAGATTATGTAATGATAAATTATATCATGAATACATATTTGTTGTTAGATTTCAAAAAAAGTTCATTTTCTTGCAGTTTTTAAATATATATAAAATAATTAGTTTTGGATTTTTCAAATAAAATTCATATGAATAATTAATTGTCATATAATAGGAAATGAAAATGAAATAAACAAAACGCACACATATACAAAGCAAAAAAAAAACAGATATCTATCACCTGTGACATAACTCTATCTATATTTGTTTCTTTTATCCATGATGGTATAAATTTGAATGATGATTAATTAAATCTTGCATACGCATATTTCTTGTATATTCATCTTCTGTATTTTGATGTTGTTGTGGATATTGAGAATGAAATGACATCGTATTTTCCTTAAAAAGAAAACAATAAAAATTTCAAATAATTTTTTTTCTTTTGTGTATTAACTTACAATAGTTGAACGAGTATTAAAATCACATGATGATGGTGGAAATGATGAATAAAACATTGAAGGATCTGTTGGCATCATAAGACTTGTTGGAGATGAAGTTGATGCATTTGCTCTTCCATTAAACATTTGATGAAATGATGATGATGATGTTGGATTAGTTGAAAATGGTTTTGATGATAAACGAACAGACGATATTGATGTACTACCTGATGATGAAGAATTATGTGATTGTTTGCGAGCTTTTGCTCGTCGATTTTGAAACCATACCTAAACACATGAAAAAAAAAAAATTTTTTTTTTTTTTTTGATCAATAATCATTGACGCATAAACATAATTCAATATGACATGTGGAAGAAGGTTATATTACAAGAACACACAAAAATGACACTATTCAAAAGGAAAAGTCCATATGTCCAAGTTTTATTTGTCGATTTCTGAACAGTTGTTCAAAATAACACGTCTTGATCTTAGAAAGAGAAAAAAGTGAAAGAATGTAAAGAGAATATATATATATATCCGGATGTGTGAAACAAGCTATATTCAATCTGGAAATTGTACCATCAAATGAACCGTGTTACCACAACAGACGGCATATGATTCAAGTGGAAAATCGCTATAAATGAAATTTATATGTACAAATTTTTCATGTCTATCTCAAGGGATAAAATGATAAATAGATTTTTCATTCTATAGTGCAAAATATCTTAATAACTACCTGTATACGTGCTTCATTTAATTTTGTTGTTCGTGCTAATTCTTCACGTAAATATATATCAGGATAATGACCTTTAGCAAATGATGATTCAAGTTCATTAAGTTGTTCTTGTGTAAATGTTGTTCGATGTCGACGACGAGCTGATGAATGATTACGTTGTTGTTGTTGTTCTTGAGAATGAGGTAAAGATGATGTAAATGAATGATTTATTATTGTACCATCATTTTGTTTTGTGCGTTTAAATGCACCAGTATTTACTAAAGAATATGTTTTTTTATAATTAATAAAAAAAAAATAATAATAATCTTTCTTACATGATGTGATAGAATAATTGCTATTTTCTAACATTCTATTAGAGTTCTTTTTTTTTTTTTTTGTTATTGTATTTGGTTTATCTTTCAACAAGATCGACTTCTTTCGTATCGGTCAGACCACTCAAGTATTTGTCGTTGAATGAGTAGAATGGAGAAATAAAGTTGCGTAGGGTGGAAACGAGAAGTGACAAGAAGAAAAAAAAACGAAGAAAAAAAAGATGAATGGCTGTTTAGAAGATGTGCTCTGTTCAACAAGCTGATCAACAACCAATCGGCGAGATGTTTCATTCATCATTTTGATCCCACATATTTCCACATATATCTATATAGAGAACGAAGACAATCAACTGCCGATTGTTATTTTGTCGGAAAGAATCGGTACACAATTATATAGTCAAAGAATAATGTTTATAAATTGAAAAAGAGCTGATACAAATGTTTTTTTAATTATTTACCTGACAAAATTAATCAAAAGGGAATAAATTCATACATATTAGATTGAATTTAAATAAATACAAAGTGTCAGTAAAAGTGTTCGACTGTTTCTATGTAGTTCGTGTTTTCTTCATTTATTTATGACATTTATTTTTTCTTCTTCTTTTTCTTTCTGTCTAGAAGAAAAATGTAGTAGACCAAAATTAGATTTTTGAACTGTCTCAAAATTTGATTACCCTTATTCAACTCACATACACATTGGCAAGTGCCAAGACAGTAGGAAAAAAAATGTATTCACACTATTTGAAATAGTTTTGTCAACTGAGAATATAACATATTAAAAATAATATAACGTTTTAGTCTTTGATGTATTCAACAAAAATAATATAGCCACAACTGAATTAGGATCTCAGTATTGTAATAGTTCACAGTTATTTTAAGTCAGATTTAATATTAAATTACTTCTTATTATAGCAACAAAATTAACTAAATCAGAACAAGAGAAAGAAAAAAGAAACGAAAAATCTCGTATTTTTTTTTATCTCTCCGCTGTTTTATTCTATTTTATTTATAGAGCAAAATGGCACATACATACAAACGAAAAAAAAAAAAAGAAAAGGGAATATTTTCACTGTAAAAAGGTAAGACACACACGCGCGCACACACTGTTCAAGCTGGATAGTGAAGCATTGATGTATGATCAACACGGAATGAAGATAAACTTTTATTATACCAATCAGTATCTTGAAAAGGTAATGGATTGTCCTAAAGAAAAAATAGAAAACAAAAAAACCCTTATGAATTTTTTTTGTATTCAAAAAATCGAACCTGTCGAATACCAGCAGCTGTAAGTGGTGAAAACTGTGAATAAGCAACAGCCGTTGGTGGATAACGAATTTGATTCGATACAACATTATTTGTTCCACTTACTGATGTTCCTGTTGTTGCATATTGATAGGGTCTTGCAGTAGATGTTTGATAAAAATTTCTCATCATTGCATTACATGGTGAAAGAACCGGTGATAAAGCTTTTTGTAATTGTTTTTCTTGTTTTCGATATTTAGCTCTTCGATTTTGAAACCAAACCTTTAAAAAACAAAATACTATCATAAAATTTTGCTTGTCTATTTTTTTCCAATCAAACCCATTCAATTGTCAATGCACGGGCTAATCGACAAGACGCCTTGTCTTTTTCTCTCGTGTATTGATGTAGTTTCTTGTCGCTCGACTGCACATACTCATTAGAAATCTATTCTTACGCGACAACGGAGTGTGCCTGCATGATTCAATTATTAGACTATGTATATAAGCGCGAGCATTCGCTTCGGTCTGTCTATGTTCGATGCTTCATCCGACATTTCCTCTTATGCTTGTCAATCATATGACAAGATGTTGAATATAGTTTTTTTTTTTTTTTTGTTGATCATCACAAACCTGAATGCGAGCTTCATTTAATTTTGTGACTCGTGCTAATTCTTCTCGACAATATATATCTGGATAATGACTTTTTCCAAATGCTGATTCAAGTTCAGCTAATTGTTCTTGTGTAAATGTTGTTCGATGTCGTCGTCGAGCTGGTGTTGGACATTGACTAGCAGGATTTGATAATGAATGATGTGATGATTGACTTGAATTTGAGGAATGTGTTGGTGAAAGATTATTTGTATTATTAGATGAAAGAGAAGATATTTGATGATAATGAGGATTATATGGTTGAAGTTGATGATATGGATGAGTATTTAATAGAAGAGATTCATGTTTTATTTTTTTAAATGCACCACTATCAGAATGACCTATATAAACACAAGAAATATTATTAAATATTTTCTTTTTTGATCAATTGATAACAAAAAAAAAAAAGAAAATCAACCTGTTGGATTAGTAACAAATTGTAAATTATGATTTGATGATTGATTAATAATATTAAATGGAGATGTTCCTGTTGAAGGTGGTGGTGGAGGTAATGTTCGATTTAAAGCATAAAAACTAGCATAATGATCATCGAGTTTTGATGATACATTATTACGTTTTGAATCACATTCTGTACTAGATGAATTTGATGATGTATTATTGGCTGTAACAGCAGCTAAACCCATGGCTGTTAATCCAAGTGTAGTTGATGTTGATGTTGTTGATGATGATATATCAGCATCATTTGTTGTATTAGGAGTTTCATTATTATTATTATTAATGAATGATGATGATGATTGAGAAAAATTTGTATTATTTGATGAAGATGAGATTCGATTTCTAGTATTATTGGTTAATGTTGACATTTTGCTTGTGTATATATGGTTGGTCTAAATTGAATTATTTGTTATTCATTGATAATGATTATTATCTTAGTAAAGAGAAAAGTGAATGAGTGGTTGAAATATGATTTGCTCGTTTCTCTTTCTCTTTCTTCTTATATAATAATCATTATAGAGTTAGAGTTTTTTAAGACTCTTAATTTTAGGTGACTAATTTTGTTAGACGACAAATCAACACTTATACTTATTATATAGGATAGAAGAAGAGTAATAAATAATTGACGAAGGCAGATAAAATCTATAAACTACATGTCCGATGACTACTCGAACGCGAAACGAAGGAGACAACTTCGTTAGGGAAGAAGAGAAGTCGCAAGAGCTTCAGCTAACGAATGAAATTTACTTCCATTAAGCTAATGTTGTTCCCACTCACTTATACTCACGAACGGCATAGCTCACAAGGCTCTTGAGAATCGATGCATTTCTTCCTTCTTCTTCTTTTTTTCTTCGTCCCTCTAGTTTGGTTTCTCTTTCTTTTTCTTCTTTTATTTTGTCATCCAATAGAAAATTATTGAATGAGAAAGACTAGTTATTATTGGTTGATAAAATGAAAATAGACAAGAAACTTGTTTTTTAGAAAAAAAGAGGACGAAGAAGGAAAGATGTAAGAGAATAGAGTTTGTTTCTAAAGAAAAGAACGATATATTATTGATGTTCATGTTCGTTGAATTATTCGAGCAGATTTTGTGCTCGTTAGGGTGCTACCGACTGACCATCGATTCTCAGATGACAATGCCGACGAACAAGTTGCATTAATTGAGCGATTGCCACAAGCGTTTTTTTTTTCTTCTCTTTCCTGTTCATCTGTCTAGCGCAATGCTTTAGGCAGAAGAGCTAAAGATTCTCACTTACTAGACCACCTACTGTGACCATTCGGTAAAAATAGAAACTGCCAAATGGCAGATACTTTCGGTTAAGTAAATGATTTTAAATTATAAATAGAAACTATTGACAGTACTTACGACATGAGAAAATGTGTGAAAGAATGACACATTATTCATTATTCTCATTTCATAGAAATTATTCTAAATGGTAAGAGTGAAAAATTTCATTATAAAAGAAAATTAATATAAATTTCTCAAGAAATAAAAACAATTGAATGACATTGTAAATTTCTTTAGTGAAACCAGTAATGAAGATATTCTTTACTTGACAATATCAAATCTTGAATTTTCATAGATTGAACCAGCACTTGTGGATATTACGGTAAATTTTAGAATAAAAATTTTTTATGTAAATGATGCGAAGAAAAAATAAATGGTTGTGATTTTATGCTCAAGTATATACAACTTTCTATTTCAATATCATGATAAAATATCCACTGAATATGAGAGATTCTAACTGTAAGCAGCAATATCTTAATCTAACTTTGCCAGATTTATATTGCAATATTGATTTCAAATTATGATTGAACATATACACATATATGGATTTTTACGACAATTCAAGTGTTATAGGTTGTTTTTTTACTATGGGATACCACTATTATAATATTCATAATTTCAAATTTATACAAATGAAAAAATTTTCTTCAATCGAATAAAAACTTATGATTTTTTATTTTATTTCGAATCAAGTTTAGCTTGTTCTCTCAGATTTCTTAGTTGAAAATGCCTAAAGTAGAAAATTTGAAACGAGCAACAATTGATTTATTTCATAACATCTGTAGGGTGACGAAAATCAAAGTGTAGAGAAGGTTCAGGTGACATTTTCCAAAAAGGTAATTGAGTGCATAAACACGTTTTTAAAAGCGAGAAATGATAATTATATTTTCAATAAAAGAAAAAAACAATTTTCGCTAGGAAAAAATTTATAAAGGTTTTTGTTATTATTTAAAATCTTCACATGATTTAGCTATTTGGTCCGACTATCGCTTTTTTTCTATTACATGCCAATGTACTGTACTCGATTGTTTGCATCTTTATTGGAGATATTTTGAGAAAGATCTTATAACAGGCCTAGATAGAGATGTGCGTGACCAAATTTTTTTGATTCTGCTTCCGACAATTTCTTTTCTAGTCGTCTCATTCTAGTTGGGACAAAACTATTCCAGAATTTATTCGTATCATATCTAAAATAATTCTTCAATACTCTGTTTTTTTTTTGTTTATTGAGTCGATGATTAGCACTTTTTAGGTCAACTTTCTTGAACTTTGTTCTGATTCATATAACTTATAAAATGATTTGTATAAAATCATAGAATATATTAATATAAATTGAGGTTTCGGTCTCGGTTAAATTTTAGTTTTTGGTCCGCCATATATTTAATTTAGATACGTTGAGTTTACTTTATTGTTAGTGGATTTTTTTATCGATCTTTTAGAAATAATATGTGTGACAACTATTCAAAGCAACATGTATGCGTTCGACTTCACGACAGATTAGATTACTTTGTGAACGCTATATTTATGATTTTGAGCTTTGCTTTCGTTTTCAATTATTCTATGGTTCTTTATTTATTTTCTGCGTTCGCAGTTTGAATCTATCCTATGTATGATTTGATGTTGTTTTTCAAGTATTTGCTTTCTTTTGTTAATTCCATATGCTGTATTTTTCCTTTTTATATTTTTATTGGACAATCATGAGAACTAGTATGATAAAGCATATCATAAGAAAGAATGATACATGTTTCTTTTTCTTTTTTTTATTAATTGGTTTTAAAATTTAAACTTTTCATATTTGGCCAAAGCTCAAATCAATACATTCATATGGATTCAGTCAATCGATAGCTACATTTCATGAAACAAAAGCTTTTGAGAATAGTTGAAAAGTTTTACAAAAATTGAATGTGCCTAAGAATGTATTTCAAAAGCAAAGATCTAGTGAACACAATCAAGATCATTAAAATAATCATGACTTGACTTTTTCTTCAGGTTATTTGAAATCAAAACAAAACAAAAAACAACGAAAAGAGACTTATTCATTCTTATATAAACATGCCATGAACGAACAATAGACGAAGGAAATAAAAATAAGGAGATAGGTGACATAAAATAACAAAGCATTGACTATCACAAGTCTTTATTATTTTTATCTGTTGTTGATTTGACATATTTATCTTTGACTTCATTAATACGTTTGATGAATTCTGATTTTTCAATAAAATCAGCAGCTTCACCCCAATCTGTTAAAATCTTTTTTAAATCTTTGACTTTAAGTTTATTTAAATCTACAGCATTAACATCAATTTGTTTTTCTAAAATTAAAACAAATTCTAATAAATAAATAAACATACAATTATTAATATTTACCATATTTTAAATCACATATTTGTGGATTTGTTTTTGAAAGTCTTTCACGACAAATTTTTTCTACTGGTATACCCCATGAAAGTGGTTTAGATAGATCACCAATAGCATATGTAGCTGATGTTTCTAATGCTCCAATATAATAACACTAAAAAAGAATTTACTAATTGATTTTAAAATAAAAATGAAGTTTTTATTTACCAATCGATGTTCTTTTGAATCAACTTTAACTTTACTACAATATTTTTTAAATGTTTTTTCGATTTTTTCTACACTTGATTTTTCTTGTTCATTTAAACTATCAGCAAATGTACTGATAGTTTTTATACAAACTAATATAAAATCAAAATTATGAATAAATATGAAATAATTTTGTTATCTTTTTTTTACCTTCGCAATGTTGTTCATCAACTGGTTTTTTTGATTGTACTAATGAAAAAGTACATACAATTACAATAAGAAGTATGGAATATGATAATAGTTGCATAGTTTTAGCTAAAGTAACTTGAACAATAAAATAATAAATATGAGAATAATGTGGAAGTTTATTATTTGATCGTGAATTTATGTCGTGGCGAGAATAAAGTTGATGATGTCAACCGTTGTCAAATGGTTATTTGACCTAATAAGAACCAATGAAAATCTTCTATGAGATTGCTTTAAATGTCGCTAGATTAATTAAATCGAGGAGGATGTTGCAATAGAAATATTGTGAATTATGGTGTCGAGTGTGAATCATAGCAATGCTCGACAATGTTTTGTCGTCGTAAACTGTTGACTTACCGATTTTTTTATTGCACACTTCTAAGATTGTTAAATTCAGTGCATATTAACATATACTTTGGGACAATTTCATCTAGTACGGTAAAAGTATTTCTTTATGTTGAAGAGTTATAGGATATTTGATTGTTTGCCTCAAGAATGTGTCAGCGTTGACAGTTAGTTAATTTATTGAGGTAACCTTAATGTTGAGACTAAAGTATCGCATAAATGCAAGTATAAGTGTCTGAACGATGTATATTCAAGTATCTATATACGAAGTATATAGTGTACAAGTTTACAAGAGCGAATAATGGAATCCTTAGATATATATAGAATAGTTCAAAAGTTATTTTAATGACGAGAAAATCAATCAAATTGATACTCACCCTTTGGACTCATGCTACACTTACAAAGAGGATGCTTTGATGAGATTAGTAAAAATCTGAAAAGGTTCGTTCTCATGAGACTTTGAAGTTGATGAAGAAACCTCTCTATGTGTCCCATTTCTAGTCGACTGAGATAATGTTCGTTTGATGAGTACTAGTGAGTAGTGAAAAAATCTCAAATGATTTGGTTCTCTCGGTTTACCTTTTTGTGATGTAGAAATTCGACTAGATTCTATAACAAAAAGCTTTGTTTTCTCTCAAATCACGTGGAAAATCGATTTTCTAGTCTTGACTTCAAACTTTGCATGAACTGAATTCTCATTGAGATTAGTTGGTTGTACAACTTGTATTTCTTTTCTAGAGATGTAAATATATGGACAAAATTTGCTTTTACATATGAGACAATTTCGAATATTGAATATCTCAGAATAGATGGCACTGTAAAAACTACAATTTGCACAATCAATTAATTTAATTGCAAATTTTGTTTTTGTAAATTTTGAAATCGAAAGTCGATTTTCCACGTTATCTGAAAGGATCATAGCTTTTCGTTAAAGAATTCAGTAAAATAATGATATATCAAGAACGAACATCTGAAAAAACCAAACCACTTTCTACTTTTCTAACAGTTACTAGTATTCATAAAATAAACATCGTGTCGGTTTTTTTGGCTACGAAGTTTAGAATATTCTAAGAATTGTTAGACCTATCTATGGAGAACGTTCCAGGTCGAAATTCCATTATTTGTTTTTTCAGTGAATATTAAGAAAAAGCAAACTGATTTCTATGTTAGAAATTATTAAAATATTTTGAAGGATACGAACCATAACTGAAAGTAGTTAAAAGTTATCGGAAGCCATCAGAATTCATTAGAAACTAATGAAAGCCACTCTGTATTATAGAAACTCTCCAGTAAATAGATTAAAATTGAAGCTCTAGTTTTAATTATTTTTATTGATTTTCATCACTCTCGATGATTGCCAATATTCCGAATGGCTTCTTTTGATTTCTAATAAATTTTCATAATTTTCCTTTATTTCTAAGCATTTTTGCTTATTTCTATTGGATTGCAGTAAATAAATAAACACTAATGTTCAGTGATAGAAATCATCTGAGATCAAAGAAAGCTGTTTGTTTCCCCTTGAAGAAAATATAATCAATCTGTAGTAATAGAAAAAAAACAAGCATGTCGTGCTTTTCTGGAAAATTGATTTGTAAGACGAGAACTAAATCAAACTAAAGTTGTATGAATCGATAGAAAAATCAGTACTCCATTTAGTCGTATATTGATGTTAAAAAAAGCAATTCTTAAACAATTTCCTTTTAGGAACAATAATGAGTTCACATGAAAAGTTCCAGAAGTTATCAGATTTGTTATAAAACAATTAATGAGTCTAACGGCAAAAATAGCTGTTTGAAACGGTCACGAATATTCTATTTATTTCTATAAAAATAAAAAGTTTCAGTATTAAGTGATGCTTCTCGAAGAAAAATAACTGATGAATGATCTCAAAACTGCACGAGACAAAAAAAATGTTTGTCAACCATTTTTCAAAATTAATTGAATTTTGGTATATGATACCAGACAAACAAAAGGAAAATAATGTGATTCAATAGAGTAATCAATACTTTACTCAACTACATAGAAATAAATAACTTCCAAGCTTTTAGTAAAAGACAAAAAACTGAACAGAAGTATTTAAAAGAACGTACTCAATCTGTAGAACTGCTAAAATATAAACAGTCAATGAATAGATGTCAAATCTCGAAATCGGACCATTTTTTTGACGGCTCGAATCAGTCAGACTTAAAACGGTACTATTAAAAACAAATTTTTTTTGTAAAAGGATTTCTAAACGATGGAATTCCATAATCAACGATCTCGAGTTGAATAAGATAGAATAATTTTAATGCTTGAAAAAAACAACAAGAGACATAAACTTCTTGAAGATCATCGTTTATCAACAAAAGCTTTCATGAGTAAAATGCCTGTTGAAGGATTTCTAATAGTCAGATCGATCACTATTTTAAGATACGCTTAACACTGTTCAACTTCTATAACACTTCTATTACTTGATGCAGTGATAGTGTACTTGACCCAATATATATATATATGAGGAATGCCATGAAATCGAATAAAAATTCTAATTTCATTTATTAGCTGAATGATAATTCCAAAACGTTTGCATAAAAAAAAGATTCCCGGTTGTTATTAATAACGAAATGCAACATTCATGTAAGAAATTGTTGAGGACAAATCTGAATAGAATCGAATATTTTTTAACTAAAAACCGACTATATGGCACTATTCAATTCGGATTTTTCAGCTTTGAAGATAGATTTCTATTGATTCTAGTCTATTTTGATCGATTTATATCTAGTTTTGTCAATTGAAACTGGTTCCTTTTTAAATTCAATTATAAAAGACTAAAACCAAATGAAATCTATCCGTAAAGTTGCAAAATAAGATTTTTTCTGTTTCTTTTTACGCGAGAAATCTTTCTTGCAAGAAAATAAATAAAGTTCAAGACCAGCCATCTATTTCGAGCTTTCCTAGTTATATTTAGTCCCAATAAAATGATTTCTAGTTACTTTGCATAACAGTTTGAACTTAACGAAGGATAAATTAGATTCTGAGACAAAAAGCACTGTCGTTCAAAGTTCAACACTCAACATGCAAAGTTATTTTCAACACTTTAAAATACACGCAAGCTCTGAGCTTTTATTGAAACATTTTAATAACTGAATTTATCTGAAATAAAAAAAGATTATCTGATTTATCTGCATGCATTGCAGTAAATATAAAACAAATGTGCTTTGATTTCATGCTAACTCTTATCTTGCAAATAATTGCACTTGACTTGTATATTTGCTAATCTTCTTATATGTTCTTTTTAGATTATTATGATTTTATTTTTATTTTGTATTTATTCTTGATAAAAAAAAACTCTTTTCTAAATATGACAACATCAGCATCATCTGAAACAAGTGAAAATTATGAAGAAGATATATTGACTATTACAGCTGATGCTTCAGCACTTGCATTAGATGATAAAAATTTAAATTCTGAAACAATATCAAATGATAATTCAAATCTCGATGATGTTTCTTCTCTCAGTTCCAATAGTAGTGATCAAAATACACATAATCATAATGAAACTCATATTATGCGTCCATTTATTGATCCCGGTTTAGTCGCACAAAAATGTAAAACTGCTCATGAAACATGGTTGAGTGATTTTGTTTCACCTACATCAGCACCAGAAAGTGCTTATTCACCATTATCTCAAGCATTTAAAAAATTATTACCTGAACGAACTGCTTGCCGATTAGGTAAGTTATTATCGATGTTACTATGTAATTCATCTCGATATTTTTCGAATATCTCAAGAACGAAAGTAGCTATAAATCTGCAGTTTTTATCATTTTGAAGACAAGTGCAGGAGAAGTGAAGCTTCGTTGAAATATCTAGTCTATGTATTGGTGAAGCTAATGAGTTTTTACTCTAGATTTTGATTAGAGATTTTCGAGAGATCTTTCTCACCTAACAATGAGTTTCAACTTAGCGAATAGATATCGAAGACATTTCTGTTTCGGTCTACACAAGCTCGAACCTTCTACCTAATTCCCATCAGGAGTGATAAGCGTTTATGGGAAACTTGAAATCAGTTACGTGACTATTAGTTACTCTAAACTGTACTAAGTTTATTGTATTTGTCTATGCTGAGTCCAGTATTAACATTAGAATGGGTATATTTAAAACCTTGTCTTTCCAACGTCAGATCGTTTCAAAACTAAAAGTAAATACTAATGTTATCAGTCCAGTCTAGACGAATATACCAATTTCAATACAGTTTAGAATAACTAATAGTCAGTTAGCTGATTTCGAGACTACCAATAAAACGTTTATAACTCTTAAATAAAATAAGCTAAGAGAGCCAGCTTTGTATAGATCGGTAAAAAATATCTTCGCTGCCAATTCTTTATATTGGAACTGATTGTTAGTTTAAGAAGGTTTTGTGAAAACTTCTGATTAAAAATTACAGTAAAAAACCACCAGCCTGATCAATACGTAGTTCAAATAATTCAGCAATGTTTTCCCCCTGCATTTCTCTTATGAATGGTGAAAAGCGTAGCTTTCTAATTACTTTCATTCTCGAGATTTTCAAAAAATATCGAGGTGCGGTATATTTTGGTGACAAGAATAGTAAGATTAAAATTTAGGTTGTCGAGGGGCTAGTTGTAAATATGAAAGATCAGATTACTGGCGTCCAGAACAAATGGCTATTGATGGAATTTTTTCACATTGGTAAAGATTTTCTAATGAATGAAACTGTTG